GTGTTTATCCTTGTGTCTGGGAATAGCAAGTCTGCTTTCTTGTGCTGACCCACTTTCCCCAAGTGTTTTATGTTGATGGGGTGGTGGGGGTGCAGCTCAGTTGTGGAGAAGCTCCTGTGCTCAGCACCGTGGTGAGCACCATGGGGTGGAGGGAGACAGCAGGCGTTTACTCGGGGCCTTTGCTTACCAACAGCCAAGCAGCATTGCATGTGTTACTGCATTTAACTTTCCTGACAGCCCGTGGACAAAACAACACACGAGTCTGACGAGGAGGACGTGCACCCAGGCTGCTCCTTAGCGGCAAGGGGGCCGAGGTTTATCTCACCCACGCTGAGCACGTTGTCAGGAGGGCTTCTTATCGGTGGTGATTCCCCTTCAAGGAGGAGAATCGGTCCTCATTGACCGGCCACGCACCGCAGCTGTGCTCTGGCCCCCTGCCTGGGCTTTGTTTGGGGTTTTGTTGTTTGAGGGGTTTTTAACAAAACTTTACCAAGACACAGCTGTGTTTCTTTGTCCATCTTTGTCCACAGTAGCTTTCATGTGACAGGAACAGAGCTACTTGTGACTAGAGAGCTCACGACCTGCCACATCCAAAACGCGGCTGCTTAGCCTCCCCTGGAGGACGCTTGCCGCCCCGGCAAGGGTCTCCCACCACAGGCCGTTCAGGGAGAGGGATGGGGAATCGTGACGGAGAGGTCAGGTCTGTGGCAAATGGGCATTGGCCATGTAAATGCTGTTCCCTGAGTGCTCCCTGAGTGTTCCCTGAGTGCTCCCCGAGCGTTCCCTGCGTGCTCCCCGAGTTCTCTCTGAGTGCTCCCTGAGTATTTCCCGAGTGCTCCCTGAGTGCTCCCCGGGAGACTGAGAGGAAGGGGAGGGAAGGCAGGTGGTGCTGAGTGAGAAGCTGGGGACGGACCAGCGCACCAGGGCCTCGTGTCCCTGGTGCTGAAGGGACGTGAGTGCAGCCTCCACGTAGCTTTGCTGCCCATGCAGCCGGATGGTTAGAAGGGAGGGCAGGTGCAGACACTGTGTTATGATCAAGGCCATTTCTCCACGAGCCGAAGCGGGCAGGGGGAGGCTTGGGGAGCAGTGGGACAGTCCCCTCTCTGCTGATGAATGTCAGAACCCGCCGTTGTCTCTCGTCAGGGACAGAGCTGTGTGGTGGGGCAGGACCCACAGACGGAGGAGGGTTCCTGGCACCAGCGCCCTGAGCGAAACGCCACTTAGCGTCTCCTGTCATCACCGAGTGTCGCTGTCAGAACATCCCTGTGGGGTGGTGTCCAGTGTTAGAGTCCTCAGCTCCCCGCGATGCTCAGGTGAAGGGCCAGGCCCTGGGATGACAGCTCCTGAAGTTACCTGATGCGGCTGTACCGAGCTCGCAGCAGGTGCTGTGGCCTCACCTCTAACCTCAGCTTCTCATACCCTCGCTTGCTAATCGCAGCAGTATCCACGGAGCCGGGGCTAGTCCACCGCTCAAGAAATACCCTCAGACTCATTGCTCTTGTGTCGGAACCGACTCACGCCTGTCCCCCCAGCAGCTTTGCAGAGGCTGTAGCTCACACAGGACACAGTCCATCTTCCTCCTGAGAAGCACCTGGTGGATTCGAACCACATGCCCTTGGGATGGTAGCACATCTCCTTACGCACTAGGCCACCAGAGCTCCCTGGCCTCTAGAATGTGTGCTGTCCAGTCAGAACCCATGAATAGCTGAGCCTCCAGCGGGCCCCCAGAACCCGCAGTCCTCTATAATGGCCCTGTCCTGGCTGCCCAGTCCTGCAGTCCCTCCTGCCCCCAGCATGTAGTGCTCTGGGACCTGCTGCAGGCCTAGGGGGAACCTGGCCATTGTCCCGCTTCACCCTGACAGCCCCCGGCTGGAGCTTCGGTCCCTGTTCCTCTGAAGGCCGTTCAGGGCCTGTGTCACCTCCCGTCTCATCCTTCACCCTGCTCTACCCTCAGCCTTCCCCGCAGCCCTGGGTCAGACGCTGGTCCCCAACTTCTCCCCATGCACCTGGTTTACAAGGTGCTACCCCTTGTGAGAAAGCCCTGCCTGGGTCGACTGAGTCCACAGAAAAGACGTAAAACTGTGGGGACCAGCCCGTGAGGACGGGGACGGGCTGGCGAGCTCACTGTTTCCACCACAGCATCTTCAGGACTTAGCCCGGGGCTTCCGAAGTTCTTCCCTATGTGAGGCTGAATTCAGTAGGGCGTCGGAGTTCCCGAATCCAGCTAGAAGCACAGGAGGGACCCACAGTAATGTCAGCCCTGTAAATTGAATCTGCAAATGAAAATAATGATGATAATAGCTACTGCCAGTTGCTTTTAGTGGCCTGGTGGTAAGGGGGCTACCCTGCCACCCTAAAGGCACGTGGTTTGGATCCACCAGATGCTTCACAGGAGAAGCGTGGGTCGGCTCCACCCTGCAACTTGCCCATGCTTCCACAGACCCACTGGAGGGTCAGCTATAGGTCAGTTCCAGTGGACAACAACACGCTGCTATAGGGAGATCTGGAGGCCCAGTCACAAGGAATCATGCTGCCACCCCAAAGGCAGGTGGTTCAAATCCAGCAGCTGCTCTGTGGAAGAAAGATGGCTGGTGTCCTGTGCACCTTGCAGCCTCTGAAAACCTGCTGGAGGGTCCGCTGTGAGTCGGTTCTGACTTGACAGCACAACAACGACAATAAAAGCTGCTTATCATTAAGCCCGTTCTGACCATGTGTGTCCCAGGGGACTGTCGCATGGGCCTCCCTGCAGCTGCTGTCTGGGCGTGAACAGCAAGCCTTGTTCGCATCCCGCCTTCAGCCTCCTGTGTGTCACTAGTGTCCCGCCCAGGGCTCCCGCAGCAGCAGCTGTCACCCGGTGTGATTGCAAAGTGAGCTTTAGGAGAGCGTGGGGACTCTTACACTGATGTGGTGTGCACATCTGCAGGGGTACAGGACATGAGCAGAGGTCCCTAGTCCCCTCAAGCTACAGCGACACATCCAGGGAGGTAAGAGGAACACACAGTGAGAACCCAGCCCTGTGGATGACTCTGAGGTCTCACGGACGGTCTTGTCTTGACTCAGTGACGTGGGGTAATGGGGTAGTTGTGTCAGAGGGGACGAGGTTGGCTCAGGATACAGCAGGGTTCGAGCTGTTGCACATAGATTGTTATGAGTCACAAGCAACTCGACGACACATTACAACAGCAACATTGTTTTGGGGGGCCATCAAGTCAACTGTGACTCCCAATAGCCCTGTGGACAGTAGATCTGAACCCTGTCCTTCCTGTGCCATCTCCATACGCTTGACCCCTTGTGACCTTGTCAGTCCCTCGGAGGGCTTCCTCTCTCTCTCTGACCCTCCGCCTTCCCCAGCATGATGTCCTTTCCACGGACAGGCCCCTCCTGACCACACGCCCACAGTGTGTGTGAGATGAAGTGTCACCGTCCTTACCTCTGAGGCGCAGCCTGGCTGCCTCCGGGGCAATTATGTTCTTTCTTTTGGCCGTCTGTGGGATGTTCACTGCTCTTCTCCAACTCCACAGCTCAAAAGCGTCAATTCCCTGCCACTCTGATTCCTTGTCCAACATTCAGATGCACAGGAAGCAATTGAAAATAGCATGATTTGCATCAGGCACCCTTTAGTCTTTGTTGTTGTTGTTTGATGCCGTCGAGTCGTAGACGACTCATAGCGACCCTATGAACAAACAGCCTGAGCACTGTTTGTACATAGAGTTTCCGGAGGCAAGCCATTTCAGAAGTGGATGTCGCTCCTGCTTCCAGGCTTGATTTAGTCAGGAAGCTCCAGCCAACACTGTCCACCATGGGTGCCCATTACCACGATTGGTACATCACTGTCACAGGCTTCAGCATCACAGCAACCATGAGTTAGCTCTGTACAGCAACGCACAGACCAGTGCTGCACCACCTAGGAGAATGTTTAACAGGAAGACAATTTGAACCTGGTTGAGGGCCCCAGATGACAATCACCCACCTTCGGTTTGGTAGCACAGCTTCCTTCCACTAGGCCAACGTAGCTCTCTCTTTGTCATCGTCATTGTTATTGTTGTTTGATGCTTTCGAGTCGTAGACGACTCATAGCGACCCTATGAACGAATGGTCTTTAAACTGACAATTTTTTGCTCTTCAGCACCTTGGACAGCTCCCTGGTAGCAGATTTTTCCCAATGCAACGCGTGTTTTGATTTTTTGACTGCTGTCAAGGATGTTAAGCTAAGTAAAATAAAATCGTTGGCAACGTCAGTCTTTTCTCCAGCTGTCATGATGTTGTTAACGGCCCAGCGGTGTGGAATTTCATTTTCCTGAAGTTGAGGTATGATCCAGGTTGAAGCCTGTGCTCTGATCTGCAGTAAATGCCCCTCTTCACGTTCTGCCAGGGGCGTTTCTCCTGAGCTGCAGTGTGACCCGCAGAGTCTACCATGTGCACTGGTAGAACTGTGACCCCTCAGCCCCCGTACGTCCCCGCAGCCCTTGTGACAGCCCCCGACCTGAGTCCAGTGCTGGCCGCCGGCTCCGTTTGCTGGAGTTGCAGGCAGCAGCTGACCTCTGCTGGGCATCCTGCTTCCAGATGCAGAAAGCAGCTTGTGTCCAGCTGAGGGACTAAGGTGAAGAGAAACTCAGCTCCTTAGAGAAGTTCCTGCGTCATCTGAATGTGGCCTCACACCTGCTGGGAGGGACCAGCTGGCGTTCACGAGGAACATCACTCATTTATAGACAGGTTTTCTAGTATTTAAAAACTTCATGATTTAGAAAATAGTTTTCTGTGTGAACAGTGCTTCCTGAAAGACATCTGGGTCCGGAATTCTTGGTGCATCTTAAAACTGTAAATCATCTTGTCATTTGGACCAAATCTCCTTCATGTGTGTGGAAGAATTTAATTCCTTTCCAATTAGCGGAGCATCACCTTATTGCAAAGGGGGATTAGTTTCTGTCCTCTGACTGCCTTGAACTTGTCTGTGGCTGCAGGGCCCTGACAAGATCACTAAGGGTGTGCATTTCTTGCAGACTCGAGGACCATCACTGGCGTGGCTGCAGACGTGCCCCGGCAACTGACAGTGTTCAACAGTGCGATGGCCGAGACCAGGGTGAAACGCATGCGTGAGTAAGTAGCACGTGGCTGGGTTGATGAGACCCCTGGACCCCTGCTTGTGACCTGGTCACGTGATGATGCTGCACTTGGCCTCCAGGTGGCAGCATGCTTCCTCCGTCCCTCCCTGTCCAGGGGTGGCCAGGACGGCCAAGGCTCAGCTCGGAGGTCTGAATCGGAATGGATGGTGCGGTTCCCAGAGTCCGTGGCAAGGACAGGGGACCCACTTGCCCACCTTCCGACTCTGGCCTCTCCCACATGCTCAAGCTAGAGTGACAAGTCCAGGGAGGTAAAAGGAACATACAGCGTGAACCCCTGCACCTCCGGCTGGAGGGTCAGCAAGTTCTCTGTGCCAAAGGCCAGCAGTGACACGTGAGTCACGTCCAGTTCACAGAGACCCTGTGGATGGACCAGGATTGCTGTGGAGGGTCCACCAGGCCATGGCGTTGGAAGCAGACCAAGACACCGCTCCCTGGGCTGGAACCGCCAAACTTTCGGCTAGTGGTTGAAGGCTTAATCATCTGTGGCACCTGTGGACACCCTGCAAAAGGCAGAATAAGAGAGAGTTTAGGGGATTTTTGCCATTCCGCTCCAAGTCAGCAGAGTCTGCTCCTAGGTCGTGCTGCTGCAGGCACTGAAATTTGAATTTCACATACTTTCCAGGCATTGCTTTGCCTCACCTGTAGAAGTCATTCCTGACCCAAAGAATTTACAAAAGCAGGTGATGGGCTGTGGCTCTGGTCTGGTGCCCTCCCATGGCTGGTTCCTTTCAGAAACTGCCCTCTAAAACCAACCTCCTGTATGGATAAGGTCCAAGAGTCTGTGGTCTTGGCAGGAAGTCTTTTTCTTTGCGTGTATATTCTTCTGGCAAGACGCTGTGTGTCCTTAACCTGGCCAGGGGTTGAAAGCGAAAGATTAGAGTCTGTTAGAATGACTTCTAACACCTGAGCTGGTGCTGGGTGGAGGTGGACAGAGCAGATTGTTTGCATTTTGTAAACGTTCTGCCTCACGACATCACAAGGCCCTTCCCACTTCTCCCCTGCTGCTCTCCCACTGGCCCTCCTGCCCCTGCCGACCCCTGAGCTTTGTTTCGGGGCAAATGCTGCGCTTTAATCTTGCCCGTTTGTACTGTGCGTCTATGTTTGTTATCATCAGTGCCTGCTTCTGCCAACCAGAGTGATCTGATAGTAACTGTTACCATGGCAACAGTAGAGCCCCAGAAACAGAAGTGAGAGCTTTAGACTAACCTGACCCTTTTCCCCCCACTTCCCTGGTAGGAGGACATGGAGGCGGTGAGCTCCCTGCCCCCCAATACACAGCCATGGAAAGTAGGTCACTTACTTCTCCCTCAAAACGTAATAACTCCGTATTGCTGGGTTCTCCTAGAACATGATGATATGTTTTGAATAATTGAAAGGAAGCTGGCGTCGCTGATGTAACTGGCCAGGATGCTCTGTGGGGGTTTCGTGCTGGCCTCCTAGCTTGTCCCCCTCACTGCTTGTCTGAGTCTGGCCGAGGCGTTTCTGGCTGGCCTTCCTCATGTGCACCGATGCGGTGTGGACCGCTCCCTCCAGGCCTGGTGACCCCTTAGCAGAGCACCCACCACCCCTGAACGCCACGTGGGGAAACCCCACCGTCCAGAAGGACAGGGGCTGCAAGGGGCCTCTGCAGGGTTTCCATCTCCGGCCTGTGATGTGCAAACGGTGACTTAGAGCCATTTCAGAAGAGGGAGAGGGTTGTGTCTGCTGCTGCAGGGGGATGTGCCGTGCACTTGGCATGTGGGTGGCGACCTTCACACACAGATGGACAGTGACTGACACTTGTCTCCAGGGGTGGAGAGGTCATCACACACACACACACACACACCCCAACCGATGGCTTTCTGGTTCTCAGTAGTGACCACCCAGTGATGACTGAATTGAAGTTCTTGTAGGATTTTGTTGCTTGTACGGTGGACAGTTCTCCTCTTGAAGCGCTTGCTGCAGAAGGTCAAGGACAGCAGCCTTCAATATGGATTGAAGCTCAACATCAAGAAAACAAAGATTCTTACCACTGGGCCGATTGGCAGCATCATGATAGATGATTAAGAGATTGAGATTGTTCACAGCTTTAGTTTGCTTGCCTCCACAGTCAACACTCTTGGCACCAGCTGCCAGGAAATTAAAAGACATATTGCGATGGGAAAGTCTGCTGTTAGAGACCTTTCCAAAGTACTGAAAAGCAATTATGTCACTCTGTAGACGAAGGTGCGCCTGATACAGGCCATGGTCTTTGCAACCACTTGTTATGCGTCAGAGAGCTGGACAATGACTAAGGAAGAGAGAAGGAGAATTGATGTTGCGGTGCTGGAAAAGAGTGTTGAGTGTACCATGGACTGCTCAGAAAACGAACAGGTTCATCCTAGAGAAGGTGAAACCGAGCGGCTCCTTGGAGGCAAGGATTCTGGAGCTCGCCTGACATACTTTGGACATGTTGTGAGGAGAGACAGGTCTTTAGAGAGGGACATCATGCTTGGGAGGGTGGAGGGACAGCGCAGGAGGGGAAGACCCTCTATGAGATGGATTGATTCAGTGACTGGGGTAATCGGGA